TGGCGCAATGCCGCTGAATTTTTTGTGCTGAAGATCGTAAATATCCAGATTTACACGTGTCCCTCGCCCCTTTTTTCACTTTCGTCGTAAAAATTGGATAGACGAAAATTAATTTAGCCGGTATTGGTGGGGATTTTCTCAAGATTTTCTACGTAAAAATGGGTTGCGCGTCTCATTTTCAGGACGTGAGGCATGCAGTAGTTGCTAGATTTAGCCCTCAGTTCACTTCAGTCGCCTGAAAATATTACGCAGTATTGGCAAAATGCATGCAGCGGAAGTGAAGGTGACATTCGATGGTTCTAGACACACATAACATCGACAGCAGTTATTTTTGGGTCCGTTCCTGGTTGGAGGGGACTGGTAAGACGAAGCTGGAGCATCATCACCCAGGATCAAGTTGTTCCTAAGGATTGCGATCAGCGCCTTGACCCGAAAACCACTCATACCCGCGGAAAAGTGTTGGCTCCGTTCGTCAGTGGGGCATCTCTATGTCTTGATGGTCTTGTCTCCACGAAACCTGCAGCCGCCCCGAGGCGACAACCAGCTGACGAGCCCCGAGACAGGTTGCAACGGTTTCTCGACATTCCTTCGACTGTGTTTTTCCACCTACTTGCTGAAGTGCAGGAAACGGTTATTGCGACCATGCAGAAATGTGTGTTCACGCAGAGCAAACTGGGTGTGTATACCTTCATGAGAGTTCCCTTATCCTTCGGAGATAAATCTTCGCTGTGAGAGCTGCGGGTCCAAACAAGTAGATACATGTCCTGCTGTCCTTTTTTTTTGGCGTTGAAAAATTCTGGAGCAAACTTTCGGAAGAGAAAGCTGCACCTTTAATTCACAAAATGCTCTTATATGAAGCGATCTGCTGAGCGGGTCGCCTGGGCAAGATAATGAAGCTTGGCGATTACTCTAGCAAGAAATCCCGCACTCATCCTTCAGAACGCAAAATGCTTCAAACGTGATATGCTATCCTGAAAATTAATGAACAGTGAGTACCAATGCACATCGCAATGATCCCCATCTATAAATGCTCCAAGCTCCACTAAACTCGCTATTCATAGCATATTGACCTGCTGCCGTATCTGCGGGAAGACGAGAAGCGACATCTTTGATGAAATAGCGCAAGCAATGAGAGCCAACCCCAGCAAAAACTCCGACGAACGCAAGCAGAAGAGAATCGGATATTCATTATATTGTCTAACTCAGGTGCCTTTTTCAAAAGTTGATTTCTTATTATTGAAACCGGGAAGTTAAAGTATTGAGAGAAAAAATTTTGCGATCAAAACGCAGACCTACATTTTCAATTTGAGATCTCTCCTTCCTAATTATGATGCGATACTTATAAAAAAGTCTTGAAGAACTGAGTATTGATTTCTGCGACAAACTTTTTTATTAAAACGTCAGATATTGCCACAGAATTACACCGTGACTTGCTGTAGTTGCTGAGTTCGTTCATTGATGAGTCTAAGTACAGTGAAACCCCGAAAAAAATCTCGCAGTAATTTTCAGGATTTCCTAAAATATGTGCTTTTCTAAAACGTGACCAGTCTGATGTTGAAATACAATAACCACAGAAATACTAGCCCATAAAGGCAATGACCATACATAGATCGTATTTCCTCCAGAAGTGGAAAGCAATAATTTTCTGCTCTAATCCTCCGAATGGATGAAAGATTGAAGCTATACGTACCCATCAGCCGAGAAAAAAACCTAAATAATAAAAAGAGCTAGATAATTCATGATTTCTTATATGTTCAACGACATCTACAGATGAAAATTACCCAAATCATCAAATACAAACTTCTGCGATTTTATCGAAAAATAATAATAATGTCATGTACCATGCATTCATTTGGAAAGGTCGCAAAGTACTTCTCGCTCCTGAAGTATAGGAGCAGCAGTTTGCGTCAGCATTTTGCAAATTTCGGGGAATTCCAATTCATGCAGCCAGATCTACTCCTATAACATCAAGAGTGCCGTCAAAATGATCAAAGCGGGAATTCCGAAGGAAATTTTGGACGGTTCGATAAGCGTAACGGGCTCAGCACGCGGATATAGACAAACTCAGTGAATCTTTCCGCCCATTGAAAATTCATTGAACGGGTTTTCATTCAAGCGAAAAATGATCAGCATTATTTAATTTTCGACGCCGTGCCTCTGAGAATGTGTATCAAGTGGCGTGTTTCGTAATAATGCAGCATTTTTATTACTCAAAGGCTACGAATTGTAACTCTATCAAATTCTATCAATTTATCGTACGATCAGATTTATTTCGCTTGAATCTCTTTTAGATGTTTTCGTTTGCGGATGCTGGAATCACTTTTTTATATCTGCAGGTACAGATTTTTTAAATGGCTGCAGGAAAAATAATTCGGGAAATTAAATAGATTCAAAAGCGATTGAATTACAATTTAATCCGAGCTCAAATTGAAATTTTCCATCTTTTAAAATATTCGTTCGAATATTTTTGAAATGTTCTGGGCCTGTGTATTCCACGGAATTTTCCGTTCCTCGATACCCAGGAAAACGGCTTATATAGCAGAGGTCGCACATGCTGGCAAATGAGGTCAGACTCGGCTGCATGAGCACGAGCGGGGTATTCCCACTTGTTGATTCTAGATGTTCCGACGTGGTATGTTGAGAATATCGGTCCTCCGGGGCCAAGCATCGAAGTTGCGACGATGGAAGTCTTTGACTCTCTTCAGAGTTCATTCGAAGGTACTGTACCTTGAACTTGACTTCAACTCAGAAAACTCAGACATGAAAACTTCCAAATCACCTGCAACTCCGACCCACTCGTCGTTTTCCGAGGCATATGTCCATGAGCACACAGTTTTGGCAGCAGCAAAACTGCTAGGATTGCAATTCAATCTCGGATATAAGTTCAGATGGAAACCTTAGAGTCGAGATGGCGACGGGGTTTGCCCGAAAGAGTGCTTCATAAAATACACCATACAGCAGAGGTTTCCAAACGAAGTTTCCAAGAGCCAAATACTCTGCATGGATTTCCCAGAGGGGCTCCTCGGGTACTCCGGAAAAAAAATGAAAGAATCTGAATGGAATCCATGATAAAGAAGTACAGTTAAGAGAGACTATTCGAAACCTTATACGTCTGCGAATCAAGGTATAAAGACCACATCAAAACGTGTATTCCTTGATGAAGCACAAGAAAAATTCATGATTCACCTAAAAGATACGGAGGATTCCACATCCACAATATACTTTTATCTCTTCAGAGCTTCTGCAAATAAATTAATTGTTACAAGTTTCCCTCGGCTCAAGAAGGTGGCGAAACTCTGCATTAAAGCATTCACCGCTCTTTACTTGAATAAAAGATCAACTTTTTCGAAAATTATTCTTAAAGCACGAGAGTGCGTCTCATATTCAATGAAGCCCTGAAATCTCAAATGCAATACAGGAAGAACATCTTTAACCAATCAAAGCTTTTGAATGAAAGCAAAGCCAAAAATTCAACTGAAGAACATCTTGCTTAATTTTTCATTTCACAAATTCCCATGAGTTTTCTGAATCATCCATAGAATCAACAATTAATTATCATATCTTGAAACAACAGGTTGTGTCTCGAAGGAACGATACTTCTAAATCTTGTGCAAACACCTTCCTCGAAATCTGATTAATGTCATACACAAAGCTGTCAAGAATGACAGAAAACTTGATGGTACACGAAGGGAAAACTATAATGATGCTCATGTGCAGTTAGATGATCTGTCATCGTTCATCTGATTCAAAATAAAATGAGCGGATGAGCCGTACTTTAGATTCACAGGCAGAAGTGTTCATATTTTTGGAGCATAAGAGTTTTCCTACAATACGGGGGTGTGTTAGAACACGGGTATTCAACGTGTCCCTTATTATTGTAACCACTTTCAAGACAGAACACTGCTAACGAAGCATCTTTATGCATACTATAGTTACTACTGTACTTGGACAAGTGCCAAGTTTGCTCAGACTTTCCGAGGTGGGCTTCATCTTTACTTGCAAGCATTTTCTTCAACTGGAAGAGACAGATTTTGCTACGATCCCTTCGTATTCAACCGTCAATGTACCATTTATTCCCTCGAAGGGTTTTAGACAGTTGATACTTTTTTCATGAAAATCCCGCGAACCACCGAACAATTATCTAACTTAGCACCAGTACAGTATGCGTGCCATCTATTCAAAAGCTCTCTCTCTCTCTCTCTAAGAATCGATGTCGTATTCTATTTCAGTAAATATAAGTATTTCTTGTTCAACGTATACGTGGATCTTGGTCTCTCGCAGATCTGCACCCCGCCCAAAAATCTGTTCTGTATCTTTCTTCGTGGGGGATCGCTGTCAATTTCGTTCCGCCGCGACTAAAATAACTTTTGGCACGAAGCAGCGTCGCTGTCGTTGCACCGTAGTGAGTTTTCCGACGAGGCAACTTGGGACGCCGTTAGTGAAGAGTCGCTTTCACGTTCGGAAAGGTGCGCTCTTTTTTTTCCTTCTCCTCGCAAACATCACAAGATCAGAAGAGCGAAAAATTGAATCAGCATTTCCGAGTGCTCTCATCAAACTTGTTTCTCCTCCGAATGACAACATGACGCGGCGCGCAAGACCCAATTAGCGAAGAAAATTGAATACCTAAAATCACATCAGCGTGGTGTTCGGGTATTTTTCCAGGCCGATTTCCGCGCGAAATTTGCGGAGTAGTCGGCTGGGGCACGAGAACAAAGAGTCTGTGTGTGGATTACTGTATTTTCTGGATATCCGGATGGTGACTCGATTCAGAACCTAGTCCTGGCCGGAGATCAAAGGGAATCAATGCGATGATTATTGGCTGCGGTGTGATGAGAGTCGGAAAGTGAATGCGGCCCCGGAACTGCGGAGTGTGGCGGGGAATGACGATAATGAAACCGGTGTCATATGTGGCGGGACGAGTGGCGAGTAACCACGTTACAGTTTCATCACGCCGTCTGTCCTTTCGAGGTCTCTGATCTCGGATTCACACGTCTTTGAAGATGCGACCGGCTCCGCTTTCCGTCCATTGTTGCAGTGCTTTTGCGCGACACGTCATCAGTGTAGCGGGGAAGAGGACGCGGAAAATGACTTCCGGGGAACTGTCTGCTTGTCGCCGTGTCGTGGAGAAACTCCCAGTCGGGGCCTACGAGCTGCTTCTCATTCATTTCTTGCGTTGGCTTGACGTCATTGGGGTAGCAGGTGAGCCACTAATCAATCGTTACCCCAATTTCACGCCCACTGACGTTTACTCCTACTCGAGCGGAATGATTCGCTTTGCCGGACGTGCGTCCAACCTATTTATGGACTTTGGGGGGAAAATTTGAAAAAAAAATAGAAACCGTCCCACTGTGAAGGATCTCCAGTCATTTGAAACGACTCATCCGACTCACTGAAAGTTTCATACAATGAATATAATATTTACTCCGGCGGTACCTCGCGCACTTTTTCCATCAATAGACTATTAGGCATAATTGAATGGGTTCGTGAACAAATTTTTCACGATTTTGTCGCTATAAGTAGAAGTTCATGTCATACAGGGAACTTGTTGCAGCCGAATAAGTACAGGTATTACGTTTCAAATCATTGGATAAAAGAATAGCATCGTCGTCGAACTACTGCAAAATTGCAGGGTCATACTTTTCCCCATTTTTCTCTGAAAATTAGACCCATTCATTGAATATGCCCGAAAAAAATCGGTTGCATTTGCTGAAAATATTCGGAATAAGTAGTACTATGAGTCCTCTTTGATGATATGTTATTCTCCAAGAGTCCCCCTCGAATCCCAACTAATTTTCTGACTACATTATTTTAGATGCATAGATGACATATTGTACAGGAATAAATAATTTGTTCATAAGATAGTGATTTACGACCGGTATTAGACCGGTAGATAATGATATTATCTATCGAAAACCCCAGTGCAGGATATCTCAGGATCGAATGAGGATTTTTTCTCTGTAAATGAGGCCGATTAATCGTTTAAAACTGCAGCACTATTCTGATAAAATGTTCTGAATTCAAGCCTATTACCCCAAAAACATATTTACAAAATCTGGGTGAAATATGGTTGTATCTTGCCTTAGCCTCCTGGTCTCTCTTACATTCCCTTATAACTAGTCTAAACTTACGTCGTCTTTCCAGATGAAAAAAAAAAAGAATCCGTTCCATCAGAAAATATATTCAAATCACATTCCAACGCTGAATTTCCACGCCTTGTTGCTCTTTTCCTTTAAAAGTAAGACCTAACCTGATTATATGCCATGATACATTTTTGAAAGGGTATGATATGTAGTACATGCGTTTTAATTCTTCGGAAAGGCAATATTTGACATTTTAAAAGACTCGGACGATGACTATGATGGTGAGTGAGCATGGGGGTTTGCGCAGAATGATTTTCGAGTGATTCCTGAAATGAGGATATTTTTTCTATTTTTAGGATCGGAGTCGCTGGAATACATGTTTCTCGACCGACTGAAAATGCTGAAGGCGGTATTCAAGTACGACTGGAAAGTGGTGGATTTTGTGTTGAAGCAATTGCCGCTGCTCGGGAGCCTGGAGGCATTGGAACTTGGCGTCGTCGGTCGGGCGGAAACGGAGCTTACCCGTCTGCCCAGCCACGCATTCGAGCCCGTGCAACGGCACCTGGAAAGTATGAAAAATGTCAAGTCTCTGGCGCTGACTGGAGGCACAAAACTTTTGTGGGACTTTGTCACAATGGGGATTGCCCGCGGCAGTCGCGAGGCGTTGCTGGAAGTGAAAATCCCCTCGATCCGGCTCTCCGACACGGTCGACACGCTCACAGACTGTCCCAACTTGGCAGATTTGCAATGCGAGGAGTTCAACGCCGAAGGAGCCTTTGTTGATGTTAAGGTCCTCGACGATAGCACTGGGCAGGAATCCAGTCTGAAGCTCGGTTTTGATGTCGACACTCATGCTGTCGAAACGGCGGACGAGCTGTCGCTGCGAGTGAGACGCGACACGCGCCTCGACACCGCCCAGCACATCATTGACGTGGCAAACGTCACGAGGTTGTACCTAAACTTGTACGAAGCAGACAGTTTTGGGGTGTCGGTAATTTTGCCGGCTGTCCATTCAGCTAGTGCCGGCACTGCCATCGTGAAACTGACTATTGAGGATGCCAGAGATTGTGACCTCGGGATTGTGATGTCAACTTGCCCGCAGTTGAGAAACGTGTGTTTCATCAGCTGTCAACTCGGGCTCTGGAACCCGGACAGTGGATTCAAAGTAGGCCCCGGAAGATTAACGGACTTTGTCCTCTACGACTGCTTATGGTCCCAGGCGAGCCTTGTCAGTTTCATCTCGCAGGCAACCCAGTTGGAAACCCTGATCCTGGTTGACGTGTGTGATTCGATGACGTCGACGCTGGTACCCTTGTTTTCTTTGATGGGAGAGGTTCAGCGAGTCAACCCTTTGATACATATCGGACGCTTGAAGTTTGGGGACGATGAGCGGGATATTCAACGAGCCTTGGAAATCTGCTCCAAGTTCCTAAGCCTGGACGTGCTTGAATGGGAAGCGAGCTGGAGTTGGCGGACCTGCAGGAACGCCGAAGAAACCCCTAATTTTTCCTTGGCTGAGCCCGTCATCCGATTGCATTCCAACCAGGCTAGCTTTGATTAGCATGCCAATTTATACGGTGGGTTACCAGGTGTGAACAAGTTGTTTTCCTTTAAATACCAAACACCATCAATTATTCGACCAACCTCTTTTTTGTGCGAACCAATGTAGATGATCAGGCATGCAAATATTATTGTCTTCCTATTTAGAAGATTATGTATCTTTTAAATATGCATCCTTTACCAGTTGAATGTTATCAAACACTTGCAAAACGTTCAAAACCATGGATTTGAAATGATTCGAAGAATTTAAACTTAATTTCTAACACAGTGATGGTGTTGGTCAGAAGCGCATTAATTTAAAATAAAAATTTCATTTAATTAAATACTGTATAGTGTAGTTGATTCTGAAACGTCATCCATTCGAAAAAATTACTCACACTTCATTTCAAATAAGTTTTTCACAGCATCAATAGCCAATAGCTGCAACATGGAGTAACTAACTTTAATTAAATGAGGAAATGACGGAGTAATATAACTGTAACATAAAAAATATGACTGCTGAAGCTCTGATTTGATGGAATTTACTATACTGCATTCAAGTCAGCGGATCGACAAATATTATAAAACTTCCAGAGAATCCAGACACAGTATATTTTTACGACAGTCTCACAAATTTCGAAGTGGAATCCAAATTATATACGTTCCTCGGATATTTATCCGATCAGAGGGGAATCAAGTGAGTCATCTTAAAGTTTCTGCCTAAGGTATTGGAGGCACAATAAACAGGACATAACAGTACCTTCTGGTAATTCGAAATTTGGCCTCACTTATTGAATCCATGCTGAATTTAGACTTCTAGAGAACAGATATCTCAGTCCTATAACTCCTATTGCGTCTTTCCTGTTATTCCATGACGAGGTGGAGATACGTGCGGTAGAACTTCGAATGTACAATGCTGTCTTTGGTCAACAGGGCATTAGTTTCATTCTGGCCAATATTTTTATAAATAAACAGGCAAAAATTTGATTTTTAAAATTTAAATTATAACCACTTTATATCCTTCTCATAGTATCTGATAGTCTGCCGAATGCGATCTGCTGACGCGGCAAGAAAATTTAAACTTTTCAAATACAGAATCTGCAAGAAGACATTTGGTAATGAATTTGTATAAGCAAGACAGCAATGAAGCTCATTTGAAACAAATATTTTTTCAAATCCCCAATGATGAAGAATACATGGCCTAGTTACTGTGAGATATTGTATTTTACTCTTCTCTCCTTCATATTAAGATGAACATTTCTGGGTGCAAAGTTACTCTTATACTGGGGAGCAACTTTTTTTCAAAGTTCTTCAGCATGCATTATTTAACTGGGATTCCGCCAAGGACGAGAAGTATCAGCAAACCCTTCGAAAGAAACTTTCGAAAATCGATTTCTTCCTCCAGAATTGTTCAGTGTAACTACGTTGAGCAGAATTCCAAGGATATGGGAAAAATGACGAAAACGACGTCAGAGCTGCTTTATTTATTAGCACGAATCGGTGATCATTTACTTGGATCATCAATGGCATTCTGAAAATTGATCCGTAGCGAATGAAAGCAGAGCAATTAGAACGAACTGATGATTAAAGGCGTTCATCCATGATAGCCAGGATATAAAAAAAGTAAAGTTGCCCAGTCGCGTTGGGAACTTTTTGATAGTTATCTTCATGACTTGATGGTATAAATAAGCCGCTGCTGGAGGAGTTCGAAGACAATTGCACACTGGGACAATTGCACACAACACACAGCCCGGGGGTGGAAAGGAAAGCGTTCCAGGGAAAATCGAATGAATTGCATATGATGGAATCTGCTGACGCGACAAAAACCATCTCAGGGGTTCATATCATGGTAATATCCAGTTGATGCGTTCAAAACTTTCACCCCGCTTCGGACAAGTTCATTTACCAGGAATCAAGGACTCCGACAGAGGAGATATGCAAATATTTATACGCATGTATCATGTTGGTTCCATAACGGTAGTTCGGGCAATCCAGCTTAACTTTTAGACAAGTTGAAGTTCATGTCCCATCACCTTTTTGACCCGAGCTGGCGAACTGTGATAAATACATGCAAGGAGAGATTCATAATTATTGCTGGGTAAGTTCCATTTCTTGAGAAAAATAACCGAAAACCAAACTTGAGATTTCTTTGGATAAACACATCCTTGTTCCGCTTATGATTGCTTCTAAAATTAGTTCGCTGTCCACTTCCGTTAAATCTTTATCCCCGCGCATTGGGTAAGCAGACTGCTGTACATGAAACCAATTACTACCCCTCGATCGTGGGAAAAGTTGGTGAATAGTATATTCATTCGGTTGCAAAGATAAGTAGTCAATGATGCCGGAAACTTTAGGGCATAACTTTTCAAAGTAATTGTTGATGCATACAACATATTATGCCGTCCTCATTTGTTCTTAGGCACTCCTGAATATTTTTTTGCCATCTAATTTTTTTTTCTTATGTGAACTACAGTAGTTGCATCTTTCATTTATTAGCCCTTTATCTGGAGCTTACACTCGCGCTACAATTTATTTTCCTTGTTGATGATATATCCTATCGCTGAAATGAAAATTCATAATTGGTACTGGCTCACAGTTCATGTTTCTGAAAATTAAACGTTTCGCCAGAAATTTGCTGAAATAGTATGAAATCTTAAAATTAATATTGGATTGTGCATATGTATAACGTGCTATGTTTGAGCTTTCGAACACCTCTTGTTTTCAGATTGGCTGTTTCCGTTCCACCTTGTATTACACTTCATACGGTGAGTTGATTCAATGGTTTTTGCTATTCATATATTTCCGTGATGAGAACAATAAACGACACGTCAGTATCCTCTGAGCTTCGATGCGATGGAAAAAATTACCTTCTGGCTGATGGACGAAACGTCCGGACTATCAATTAATCTTGCTTAAATCAATTTCTAACATATGTATATTATTCTCGTTTTACAAATGTTTCAGAGATTATCTTGGAAGCATTTGGAAATTCACATCAATAACTGGAGTGGCCTGGTACAGTCCTATTGAAGTGGGGTTTTCCAGCGAGTCCTTGGGAATTGTCATGCGCATCATCTGGTAATTCATTGCGTTCAATACGAGTTTTGCACTTAATCGTACGTTGCAGTTACTCGTACGTTTTGCAACACCTGTTCAACAAACAGTCCATTTAATGGTCTTCGATGATTTGACAGGACATTGAAGCTTATAACTTGGCGTCGAAATTTGTTAAGTGGAGCAGCCACTTCAAAAACTCGAAAAGCCCATCTGCGACACGATTCCATTGATTGCAGTGAAAATGCATTGAGCCTATGACTTGTGAATTTAAGTAAAAATTTGAAAAATATACATGAGATTGTCCAACCCTGATTATTTATTGAATTTTTCTCTGCCATCAATGCATATATATCCACAGAAATTGTTTGCCAAAATTCGAGTAGCACGGAACCAAATAAAATGGAAAATGCATTCATTACTTTTTTAACGTGCATCTTGGCACTTTCAATTCTTCTCCAGACAACGCTAAATATACAGACCGCGATTGGTATGAAAACTTCCGGATCAAGAAAAAACGTTCCGGTCTACCAGGAACTGATCTTGAAAACCAGCCAAAAAATGAATGCAGCAGCGGCAAAAAGGTCAACATATCGAAAGCAAGAACAAACGTTTGTTTTCTACATGATGGTATTGCATAGGCTTCTTCACCAGGATCTGGGCTTGACGAATGACCTGCTCAGCTTTGGCGCAATGTTCGAAGTATGTCCTGTGCGGAAGGAGTTGCCAATAATAAACTATGCGAGCGACGTGTAAATAATGAACGCCAGCTTCAGGCTCGGGTTTGAAAAGTTACATGACAGCCTGGTATTCTTGAATGAGAAAGCCAAGTACACTGCCGATGATACCAATAATCACTTGGCCCAGCTGACATGAGGTTACGAAAAAGGCAATCATGGCTGGCAGCTTGATCCGCGCTAGTGCTCAGCCAATTTCATTTGATGCCGAACAACTGTCCAATTGAGAAAAATTCCCGAGCTTCGATGGCGACAGAAAAATATAACAGTGATGTGGTGGTACCAGTGCAGGGATATGAACAGCTGCTTAATAAGAACGGTGAAGTCGGCGTCCCCAAGCTTGACCAATTTTGAAAACGTTGAACATGATGCACCAGAATCCAACTGCTGGTTGCTGAAAAAAAAACTGAACACAAAAAATTGAAATATGTTCTACCATAACACAAAACCGGTTCGCTGCAAAATCAAAACACAGCAACGAATATATAGCGTGAGTTAAAACCGAAGACTATAAGTTTAATCTCTTAAGTCATATCTCTCCCACAGATCCCCGAATAAATCCGACATTTCACGTTTATTATACTGTATATTCGGTATCACCTAAATTTTAAATAGTTTCGGTGAGGATCAATGTAAATTATGTCGAGGTAACTGTTAGGCATCACACTTGATTCGGCGTTTGGTTCAATTTTACTCGGTCACAGGGAAACTGTATACTCAAGACAAAAATCGGAGAAAATGATGTCAAATAAATAGTTGTATGCCGTTCGGCTATCACAATAACAGCTGCATACGAGCACCGTCTATAACCCTGGCATGGCTTCTTACCTCTTACAAGAACCCTGATGCTCACCTTGAGAGCCATTTTTGTGCATTGCCTGAGCAGCTCAAAAAGTGCACCATAATAACGGCTCACCATGTACCGGCAATCAGGGTTACACGGGTAAGCGAAATACACTAAATCTATCTTTATACGAGTACAAGTATACAGTTAACAATTATGACTTGACTAGTTTCAATAAGAAGTCCAAGCATATATAAATTATTTGAAAAATACGAGTGGACAAATTTTGCACAACAGATCAACCTGTCCAGTAGTCTATGGTCTGTGCACTTCTGCTTTCATGAAGAAGGTCTTATCTTTCTTCTGATGTATTTTGTGTGCAAGTTGATGTCGTAAAATTTCATCAATTGATCAAAGACATCAAGTTTGATTGCAAAGATTTCATTTCTTGTCTCTTCAGAGATTATACTTTGACATTTGATGAAACATGATTTTTTCATTAAAAGTATAGCTCAAAACCATGCCCGGGCCTAATGAAATTTGGAACGTAAGCAAAACATTTCTTTGTTTCTTATTCCCAATCACCGTCAGAACACATAGCAATCCACACAGCATGAAAACATCACATATTATAATTTGAACCTAATCGACACTCCAAAACGTACTGCACAGCAGTGACGAAAATAAATATTCACAAAAAACAGGAGAAATGAAATTGCAGTTTTAAAAATTATTGTTTAACTTTTTAATATTGCCACATAGTTTCTTGGCATAGCCAAATGTTTACATGCTGAAATTAATTTTTAATGTCTCTCACTTGTGATGCATAATTTTTGGTCATGCGATGACGTGAAGGGTGAAGCAGATGATCCATGTCCCGTACGTACTCTTTTTTTTATCCGCAAAACAGCAGGCAAATATTTCATCATAGAAATCAAGTTTGAAAATGTAGTTTCCACTTCATTTATTGACTGTTCAGAGTCTGTGAATTTAATCTCCAGAGTCCAAAATTAAATAATAGTTGAAGACAACCTGAAGACGCTGCTGAATTAGTTCAAATGGATATATGGTTCTGTCGGGTTACATTGGGTTCACTCGCTCTCATTTGAGATTGTTATGATACTTGTCTGATGCCCTCACTAATCTAATCCAGCAATATAAAAATTGCCCCACATTGACAAATTCTTTTGAAAAATTTTGCACAGCGCCAATCCACAGAATCTTAGCATGAGCCAAGGCAACCTGTGATACGGGCATTAAATTTTTTTTTTAATCCATATAGCTAGAGCTACAAGTAGATTGCCTCTCACTGAAAGCATACAGTAGTTGCCTAACAAATCTTTCACACGGACAGAATAATCCTCAATATTTTCAGCCTCCTTGGAGTCACAGTTGATCATGTTTGAGGGTGTCTTGGCTGTGCTCAAATTGATTTTACTCTCTGTTCACCAAAAAAATGTTTAATACTCCTCAGCAGACAAGATCTATTTCCTGAGCAGTATCTCACTTGAAACATTTATAGAATAAAACATTCAGTATATTGATGTGAAAAAATTTTCGATGGGAAGTATTTAGTCTCGAGGTCACGTCGGACATTCACAGTACTGTACAATACGACTTGCAAGATTGTAACATAATAAAAACAGGAATTTCGTGTGATTTCGTGAATATGATGCCTTTTCAAAGAAGGAACTACTGCAAGGGTAACTCCAAAATACATTTTCGGTAGAAAGAAATCTTTGTTGACAACTCTGTGAGGGCCTTAAAACCAGCCTTCCTGTAATACATGCATAGTATTGAGAAACTGGAAGTTCACCTACATTTTGGGTAATGAAGTTGGGTCCTAAGCTTCGATTACCAAGTGATCAAGAGCATCTGTCTGTCATTTCATACTTTTCAAAAAAGTATAACCATTAATCACGGTCGTAAAGGTTGATACTGTAGAAAAAAACCATCGACGAGAATAAAATGTTCATGTAACAACAATTAATTTATCTTTTGGCAATGATTTATAATGACCACGTTTTATAGACAGTTGGGACCTATGAAGCCAGGAAAGTTTTCCAAGTTTGTCTTGAAAAACCAAAGTTTTTAGAGGCTCGAAGATGGCAGATTGCTGTTGAAGCTTCTGTCTCCATGTCTTCTCTGTTATCATTTCATCAATGATTGGAATCCACCTGCAAAGTTGAAAAGTTATTACAGATGGTATTAAAAAAAACGAAACTCTACAATTTGAAATAAACTAATATAAAATAAATTGAACAGCATGCAATTTGAACGACAAATTGTTAAAAATCTTGGTTTTTTCAATTTCCAAAAATGAGAAGTATATCGTCTACGAGATACTACATTTATTATTCGCCTGTCATTTCTGTCAAAAATTTTAGAAAAACAGTAAAATCATTATTGCTCTTTGATACAGTCATTACTTGCACAACTATAGAATGGAAGCATGAACTGCGGCAGAGGGAGCTCTGAAGTGACAATGGTAAGCTTCAGAAACTCAAATTCAACATTCATTTTAAACCATCTTACCCTATCTTTCAAACCTGGTTTTATAAAATCAAATCTTAAAATCTTTCCACCTGCAAAAGTTTTTTGTGAGTTCTGAAAAGTTTTCGTTTTGGAAAAATTTCAACAATTCGACAGCGTCATCGGTTATAATGCACAAGAAAATGTTTTCAAGGAAAGCTTCAAGGATGTGGACGTTTAAAAAAAAGCAGACGCACAATTTCCCTATCAACAGGTCATTAAATAAGAAACCATCTGAGAGTAGTATTCATTCCCATTCAGAATAATCGACGTTTGCAACCCTGAAGAACCCTATTCAGCCTCTTGAACTCTGGATGCAATTTACTTTACACGTACTGCAACAACCCTTACATTTTCAATTCAAGTAAGAGGCACTTCACGCTGAATCCTTTCTATTCAAATCGAGAAGTTGTTGTTGTACCCGATGAATAAATTGCATCCTCATTGAAGATTTTTGGCCATTAACTTTCATGCAGAACGAAAAAAAATGCCGAGAGTGTACCATTCATAAGCAACTGGGCTCTCTGGTGGAGAGCATTGTTGCCGGATAACGGGGAAAGTGGCTTTAACTAACATTTTGTAGATGGCGTCTCTGTACATTACCAGTTTATTGAAGTGGCAGTAGAGGTTTCTTTTGCATGACAAACGTTTAGTATAGTACTGTATAACAGCAGTCCCGTTACAGAACAATGCTAAAAAAAAAATTGTGCGCAAAAAGCAAGTCAAGCACTATAGCAACCTCGAACTGGCGATGTGCCAATGCGGAGCAGGTGAATCAGCCATGATAGTCCGGTCTTCGGGACAGTGGCCCGAATAACGGTCTTCTCTCTTATGGTTGTCAACACAGGAACCTGAAATTGAAAACGCAGAGTTAATACCAGTTGTCAAGGCTTTTATGCACAAGTCATTAGCGCGCTACACGTTGAAAGTTATTGAACTATTCTTATTGGCTTTCGTCTTAGCTTGTGACAGAGGAAGAAGGAACTGTGCTGCACGGCTGTGTAGGTCATGAAAATGAAGACCATCGATCCACGTTTAGTTTACTATTCATTTATTGAAATTATAGCCATGTGAACCCTTAATACCACTTACTTGGCAGTCAGGGGTGGTCCATCTCGTGCTGCAGACGAATGTCTGGATTTCAGCTCACACCGCTTGAGATGAATCACTATTGACAGAAAGAAAAGCTGTACCCAATTGAGTAAAGATTTAAGAACATTAGTATATAATGCAGCTGGAATCAATATGCAGCATTGTACTGTATAAAATTTAAATTTAAATCAACTTTGAATTTTTTTTTTTGAAGGGCAGGAAATTACTCACGAACAGTTTGTCAAGAAGTTTTTGGTGCACACTGAGCACCACACCATGGTATGCGATACACTTACAGCATATACGATTAAAGAACAGTAGACATCATAGGAACTCATTTCTGACTTTGAGAACATTCCTTGGTCTTCCATTTGGGTCAGAGGAAGGCATCCTGACCCAAAGGTGTCAAATCAAGCTAAGTATATTCACAGTACGGTGTATCTGCAAAATCATTTCCACTCGGAATGCTCGAGAAGAAATCATGAACAATTTTCCGACCATCGAAGTTTCACAAAGGGACAATATTCGTGATTATACAGCCCCACAATGCTTCGCCTATACAGTATATCACAACATGATACTGTACCGATTTACCATCAATCAATATGGTCAGCCCGAAACTTCACAGAATCGAATTCTGATTCAGCTTCTAAAATAAGACCCAACTCAGAGAATTAGCAATTCAATTCATGACCATAAGCATATCAATACGCGTAAATTGAAGATGATAAATTTTGAAATCAGACAGTCGGAACTCAGAAAGAAGGAAAAGGAACACTATTTTAATCGTATTTATTGTGATGTGGGAATTGTGAACTCATTAAATGTACTGCGCACTGTAATCAATGTTCTCACATGGAAAATATTCACACATCCATCCGCATATTACTGGGTAACATCAGTGTAATATTTAAAAGGACAGCATACTGATATAATTGTCTCTGATGAACGCGCAGGAATGTGCAGAAACAATTCGGAGTAAAAATATGCCGATAAAAGCAGTCACTTCAAAGACTTCCGAAGCTCAATGTGATACAATTAATTGCTGTGATTATAAGGTATTGTACATGAAGACTTTGATACATGAGTAAAAAAGAAAATAAAAAAGGCATGAGAATGTCAAACACCCATTCATTGAATTTGCCTTTGCCATCAATACATACATCCACAGAATACTCGCTTGCCAAAAGTCCGAATACGTGAGCTGCATGGAACAGAACAAAATGCGACACGTATTCATCAAGTTCGCAAAATGTATCGTGCCACTGTCAACCTGTTTCCAGACAACGCCAAATACAGCCCGCCATTGATATAAAAACTTTTACATCAAGCAATAACAATGATCTTCTTCAGAGTACGCAATAAAAAAAAAAGAACAGAGAGCAGGTCTAAGCAGATATTGCCACAAAACAGCTGTTTACCCCATCAAATATAGGTACAGGGTACAACTGGAAAGCAGCTGTTGAAATCTCTTTTTATGCATTAGAAAGCATTTGTGCTTGCCCTCGCTGAAATGAAAATAGGTTATATTTAAACACAACAATAACTTCTACCCCTACCCCAGGACAGAAGCTGGATTGTGCAGGTCCCTCAAACACCTGCAGAGGACATCTCTCCGAGTCCCAACAGACATAAATCAACAACAGACTACATTACAGCCCGGGTACAGCAACTGACTTCTGAAACTGATTCCATTGATTACTTGAGGCAGACAAAAGAGCTTGCTTGGTGCACTGAATCAAGCGTTAACTAACTCGAACACTAGACCCTCAAAATGGAGACGTTGAGAGGATTTTTCAAGAGAGAATTACGAAAAAAGGTCTGGACCTGTACAACCTTGGCTATCACACAAAAATCTTTCCACAAATTCGTCCAGTTATCATGATCTGCTCTTTAAAACTAGCCAGCAATGATGCAACAGAAGCAGGAAAAAAAGATCAACATACAAGAAACAAGAACAATTGCTTGTTGGCCTCATGAAGTTATTACATAGCCTTCTTTGCCAGAATCTGGGCTTGACAAATGACCTGCTCTGTTTTGGCGACAACGCTGCGTTTGGCGCCACGCTTGAAGTACGTTCTGTAGAAGAAGTTGACGAAGAGAACGAAGTATGAGAAATACATTATGAACGCCAGCTTCAGGCTCAGGTTTGAGATGTTACACGGGAGCCCAGCATTCTTGAATGAGAATGCCAAGCAGTTGCCAATGATACCAACAACCATTTGGCTCAGCTGAAATGAGGTTATGAAAAAGGCAATCACGGTTGGCAGCTTGATCCTCGCTGCCTTGAGAGCATAGTAGGTGTACATCAGTGAGTGCACAGTGAAGTTCATGAAGCCAAAGAACTGTCCAGTTGAGGAAAATTCGGAGTTTCCATGCCAACAGAAGAGTAAAACAGTGATGTGGTGGTACCAGTGCAGGAATATGAGGGGTTGCTTCCTCAGCACTATAAAAACGGTGTCCCCGAGCTCGACCAATTTTGACAACGTGAACATGTAGCACCAGAATCCAACCACTGGTTGCTGGAAAAACCTGAAAATGGAAAAAGCACATGAAAAGATACCGTGTTCACTCAAGTCAACTTGCATGAGATGCAAATCTAAGTTTTTGATCGTCAAACTCGAGCAAAAGTGCACATCGCTATATTTGACAGGTACTTTAGTACCTCAGTTTTTAGTAACCCCAAACTGCAGTAAGCATGAGGCTATAACATCTGAAACGTAAAATTAGGATCGAATTAACCACGAATTCAATGAATTCGCATTCGTGGTGGATATTTTTCATCCTTCAATTCATAGCTACTGTGGTTAAAAAGAACCCCTTTAAAGAGCTTTTCAATGCAGTGCGAAAACTTCACGTAAACAAAAGTATCCCATTCAGAAATCATGAGTGCTGAGAAGTATGTCAGTCAATAATGTCAAAATAATGTCAAAAACTCGATATTCAGAATTTTGATGCTATCTCCTCCTTTTATCTTTCATGCTGTGATTATTGTGCTCTCTTGAATTCAAAATTGAAGAAATTTGAAAATGTGTGAAAAATCCTTTGAAAGAAAAAAAACAGTGTCTCAAATCAAAGTTTTGTTTATCTGTCTTTTTTTATTACAATTTTCACATCAAGAACTTCAACAGATTTGTTCCTCGCAGGGAAAATATCAAAGTCGAGGTTTTAAGAAATGAAACCTCAAATCGTCTTCAATTTTTGGACTTAGAATGTATACTTACCACGAAAATGCGTCACAAAAAATTGGGATGCGTTTACCGTTCCTAAACTACAAGTGGTATGCATATTTTAGGCCTGGAAATCATGCACAAGAGATGTATAATTTAAGACAATTGCTTTCAAATCCAAGCTTTTCAAGCTGGCGACGGCGTTTCTTTTGTTCTCGGATATGCATCAACGGGGCACCTTCAAGATTTAAACGTGGTTAGCACTGAATTTTTCTTTTGCCTTGACATTTTTCCACTGATGAATCAAGCTTAGACATTTTCGAATAATTTTTCCTTGAGTTGGCCTTGTATGCATGGGTGTTTCTTTTATTTAAACAAATGTCTGCTTTCTTACCCATTGTCGCAAACGATACAATGCAACCCGCGAGTACTGAGGGATCTGAAGAAGTGTGGTGCAGTCCTGAATGTTCCAAAGATGCTGAAGCTGGCAAGCAACACGTTCCAAAGAATGAGTGGAATCCGCACCTCAAAGCGTTCACGACGTTTCATGTACGCTGGACCAGCAAAGACAAACGATATGTACAGGGCAATCGTGCCGAATGCTAATGGCCAGTTGGACTCCAGGAATCGACGTCCAGCATAGCTGTCGAAATTTCTCTCAAACCAGTATATGTCTGATTGAGAGAAATCAGCCGTGATGTTACGCGCACTGATCATTGTCCGACACTAATCTAACGCCGGAGCAGGATTCCGAATGACACCTGAAATATTTGGGTCAAGTCATTAATTCATCGCGAGTCAAGAACGAAGCAATGCCTCCGTACAGAGGGGGCCCAAACGTATGGACGCAGCAACATGCGGAATTTATAATTATTTTATAATTATGGACACTAAAAAAAAAAACTGCCCCAATCCCTGGAAAACTTGTCAACATAGGGACAAATCGTCAAAATTTCCAGAATGCATAGTATTTTTCAAAATGTTCAAATCTCATGCAAAGATGGATTTACTTCATGGAAAATTTGTTTTAAAAATCATCTTCCCTTCAGCTTCACTTCAATCCATTTTCCAGAATTGGCTATTTTTTTGCATCTCTTTTCAGGTTTTTTTTTTATCAACTGTGCACAGTGTGCGAATACTGTATGTGTGCTTGCTTCTTGCCTTTTGCTTTTACTTCATATATACAGGGTAGATACTGCGCCATTTCCTTCTGTGAAGTGATTTCTGCAAGTGAAAGCTGAGAAAACATATCTTATTGAATTGCTCGAGGGATTTTTTTCATTTTTTTCACAAACAACATCCCTATTGACGTCTAAAGAAAAAGTTAATCTGACATGCAGATACTTTGACACACGTACATAGTCTGAGGAGTGAGGAAGGCTTCAAAATATTTACTTAGTTATAAGCAGCACTATTTTCCTTCAGACATTGCATTCGGAAGAACTGAGATGCGACCTACAATCGAAATAATCCAGTAGATTATGGACCTCACTTCAAAATGTCAGATTAACAACTTTACTTAAACTCAAGGATGGGTGGTTTCTGGATTATTCCTAATCAAATATTTAAAAAAATTGTCAGTCTAATTGACAAAATATGTCTCCATTTTCCACAGCAAATTCTGGTGAAACTCCAGTAGTCAGTAAGTACAGAAGTGTACATCAAGTCGGTTATTTTTCCCAGAGTTTTTCTGAGAAAGATTCCAAAATATTTGATCCTATAGCTGCATGAATGCTGTATAGCTTCCACAAAAATTTTAGACCAGTATCAATTGTTAAAAGAGGAAATTATTGTAAGTTTCAATTTACTCAATTCAATTCATGTAAAAGTTGTGAATAGGAAAACAAGAGCAGTGTTGAAATAAATGAGGCAGCCGAAATAAGGATGCAATGATTTGTTTGTTAAATATATTCAAGTCCCTCCCGGAACGATTTTTATTTCCTGAGAGAGAGCATTTCTGAATAACATTTGTCCTGGGATTCAGGTTTATTTTGCTTTTCAAGTGGAACAATGAGCATGGGCTAGATCTTTATCTGTTTGGGAGATGGGCGAATCGGGGAAGCCTTTTTTGTTTTGTTTTTTGCATCGAAGACACTGAACTTTGAAAATGCCGAGCTTCATTTGAAAAATATGGTTCGACAAGAGCAGACCTGAATTGACTTGTGAAAAACCTTGTGATGCAATCTGCGTTGAAAGAATTTTCTGGCCAACACTGGTTCCTTGACAACCAAGTCTGACCAAGCAGAGAACTTGGGGGGGGGGGGGGGGGAAAGGGGGAATGGAAAGCAACAACACGTTTCCATTTCTCGAATAGGTGACAAGATTCATCAGCAAAGCCAACAAACGCCCTCAGGTGGAAAAACTCGCGCCAATCCTCCCACTGATGAAAGTCGTCACGGGAATGGTTTCAAAATCGCCAGAAGACTCAGCCAGAATCGTCACATTTTTGGTGCAGAAAAAGTTGATAGTTCCATAATCATTTTTTTTTTCCTTCTGAAGCCGTGCCTACCACAGCGACCTATTCTATTCCGCTTGATCACTTTGTCATTGCGCTGAATCATCTTATCGCATACGTTAATCTTCCAGCTTAGCGATCATCAATCAGGAATACAAACAAAGACAGAGACCACGGCGTCAGAAGAAGAAGAGAAAACGATGACATTTCCGTCAGCGATGTACGTTTTCCGAACTTTTATTTTTGGAGAATCACGTAACTGCGTGCGAGTTACTCATCAACCAACCTTGAGGAATACAATGAATATACTGTACCACGAATTACTTCCCGATTGCAGGCATTGATTGGACTCCTTCCACCCCACTCCGCGTAGAAGCAATGAATCGCAGTTGTACCTACCATTGATTTCCTAATAACTCAAGTGGGGGGGAATTGATATCACTCAACTCCTTGGAATCGAAGGGAATTCCGGGCGACGCAACACTCCGGCATCTGCGAATTGGGACGTGGAATTGTGAGAGACCCGAATTTGACATCGACACGCTTTCCAAATTCTGTGATTCAGTGGGATTCTCCAAAAACGACGTCACGAGTAGACAAATAGCTAGATACTGCTTCGGTTCCGCCTTAGCGGGAACCGGAATCGGTGCGGATGTAGTCCGCCCTTGAGCCGAAAACACCACAGGATCATAACCGACAAGAATCCGGGAAATTCAGCGTAGTTTAATCATAAAAAAGGATTAGAATACGGTAGTTCAATCTTGTTTTCTAGTCATATATTATTCGTCTTCAATTTGCAGTACATGAAAAAAATTGCCAAAGCAGCAGCAACTTTCCGAGGTTTGTTCTCACGTTAAAATATCGATGGACTCATTCTTCGAGAATATTCAGGAAACCAAAAAAATTCGTTTTTTTCTTTGAAAAATACCGCTTGCTACTCATACAAGTTTAAAATTCGTAGTGGAACCAGCATGATATTTTGTGGATGAAATTTTTTCAAATATTGCTGGATTTTATCCATCACTGAATGAAATGCACGCAAAATCGTTTGGAGACCACCCGTTCAGAAGGTGCCTCAAGTCAAAATATTACTTATTTCTGCAGCGTCCTCAGTATGCGTGGTTCTGCACTGCTCATAAATTTATTTCTGTTGTGCAAAAAATTATGGTGGAATCGAGGCAGCTGCGCTTCATGATATTAAATACTGGTTACATAAGTTAACCTTGATTAGAGGACGCGTCATAACAACCCTGTACAAGTAAAAAAAAGTTCTGGAAAAAAGTTCTACTCCACTTCATTTCGCCTGGATAATATTTAAGTAATACTCTGGACTTGGAGAGAGAGCCCGAACAGATGTTAACTATAGATTTTGGATTGATTAAAAAAGACCCCCACAGCTTACGGGCAACTGCAAAGGTGTGTGCTTCAAGGCGCCGAACCATCGTGTTATCACAGTATTTTCAAAGAAATAAAACCGCAATTTTCTCCCGGATGCCCCCTTTAAATAAATCATGTCCGCCGTATCTTGAATGAAAACATCATGACACCATGAAGCTGTTATCATGACACCATCATGAAAACAGAAATTCAAAAAGCTCACTTTATTCGGGACCTGGGAAATTCTAGCATTTTTTTTCTTTACATTTTCGTCCGCGAGCACACTAAATTTCAAGCAACGTTGGCATTTTTCTCGCTATTTAGTGTCCTTCAAACTTCGGTTTTACGTCATGAATTAAAGTACACGCTCGGCTCATGAGAACGACTGCGTGTCTTTCAATGCGCACGCATGTACAAGTACCGTATCAACGACTTTTCCATCGATCGACATACTGTGCCAAAAAACAAGCTTCCATTGCAGAATAGATTCAGGTTCGATTAACCGTCCAATCAAGTCTCAGTAACTCCGGCCATAGTTCTGATAGCCATTAGGCTTTATAGGTCACAAATGACTCGGAATAATCGTGAAACATGAGCTTGTAGTTTGGATCAATGTTAATGGGTTATTTTTGGCAAACACGAGGTTTGAGCAATGCCTATGGAATTTTTATAGACTACAGTGTCGAAGGAATACTGTACGTCATACAGTACTTCTTGTTGAAACCTTTGGGGGGAAGGGGGGGGGGGGTCTCATTTCTAAGGAAACGGATGTTCGCCCCTATCAAAGATACAAGCAATTAACTTTTTCCTCGGTTGCATCCAGTACCTCTTCCAAAGGATTTTAAGCGTGGGTTTCTAAACCATTCATTTGGCATTTTAATTTTCCGTTTCTTTAAGTTTGCACCGACATAACTATCATACTTCGAGAAGAATGACTGCACTCGACCCTGATCAAGAACAGCAGCTCTGCAACCCTCTCACCACGATGGATATAAAAGCTTAAATAATAACAATTCTGGAACCTCATCGGCTGATAAACTTCATTTTTACAGTACCACAGCCGGTAGTTGAAAAACGTGATCGAATGAGCTTTGAATTTGCCAAAAGCGATTTTGACCGCGCGTAAAATTCATCCGGGGAACGATTACCCTTCGAAGAACTGATTTACGATGCACTTGTACTTGATCAAGAAAAGAAGGAGGGCAAAATGGCAAAACTTACTTTCTCGCTTAGTTATTGACACGAGCGCGCCGCACGTAAAAAACGATTCACTTCCGCTTCGGGCTACAGGTGGGGGGGGGAAGCCTCGGGCGAAGATTTGCCCGACGAAATTTGAGCAGGCGTTGAAAGTCGGTCCCGAACCGCAAGTAAAACACGAAGGGCTCCGAAAAAAGGGCCTGTTTCGCAACCTACTCTTGAACTTGGTCGACGGTCGCCTGGTTTTCCCGTCTTCCTGCGCACTCCCACTTCGCGCAGCGCATCGTCTACCGAAGCTCCAAGCCCGCCTAGTTTTTTCAAAAATAGTTCCATGCATCAATTCCCTCAGACTTCGCATCAACAAGAGTTCTCGGAAGGAAGCCCAAAAATTCGGCCAAATCATCCCCGGCTTCTCCAAAAAATGATTATAAAACCATCAAGCGTGTGAGTGTGTGCGCGCCGCGTGACGAAAACGTTCCCAGTACAGAAATTTTGGCAGGTAGAAACTGCGAGAGGAAAGAACCACAGCGTGTAAAAATATGAACCGCTCTTTTAAAAGTATGTATCGTTTTTCAGTAACTTTCGATGATTAAGTTTTACTCTCCCACTACTGTATTAAGAATTATGAAAATTATATTACGCCGTACTTTCTTCCCTCGACCGGGCAAATAATTCTTACTTGGCTGAAAATATACGAAACCGGAATGAGGTTCTCGGAAATGAGCTCACGAGCTGAACCTCTATCTAGAACTATTTAAACAACAGTAATTCGAGATTTTTCCGAATACAGTAGAATCGTGTTCCGGTGAACTCAAGGAGACCAGAAAATCGTTATACTGTACTGAAAAAATCTGCAATGGATACATGCGTCAATTGTTAAAAGGTTTGCTAGTAGAAGATTCTACTGCACCTGCTGCAATTCCTCAGCCGAGGGGTTTCCCCTCCACGGGTTTTTCTCCTGCACTCGGTGTGAGACACGACGGATTACCTTGCGGGTCAAGGTAGACGCGATTCGAATTTTTGACCTAACGCGCGCGACTGGCATCGGTGACAATGTGTCCCACATTCCAGCAACCCTAACCAGACCAACGAAACAGCAATCAAGACACCAGCAAGTCGGCTTCCACGCCGCGCTTTCCGTCGGCGGCGAAAGGGCGACTATAGGAGCCCCGGCAAAGCCGTCACGTTGCAAGTTCGCCCTAGCAATGCATCGATTCGAAACCCCCTGAAGACAAAAGGGAGTGTGTGTCGAGGTGCCCAGCACCCGTGGCTGGCAACGGGTACGCGAGGCAATGGACTGCGAGGTCGCTCATTTGCCGGGTTGCTTATCTATGCAAAACCCCCCGACGCATTCGTTTTGCGTTTGAGGCAAATTTTTCGCCTCGACATCCGTGGTAAGCAATTCCGCGAACCCACGAGACCCTGAGCACCTCGTCGAAAAAGGGGTGCCTAGCTTGCACGTTAGCAAATAAAAATGATCATTATTGAGATGGGAATCGTCCCCGAACCTGTGACAGAATGGAAGATGTTCGACAATCCCGCGGAATGACTGACCTTTCCGCAGATAAGCATCGTGAAGCAAACAATTTATTCACTTGACCACGAATTCCTGGGAGGCCTGCGTGAAGAACACATGTTAATTAAGAGGTATTTGAAAAAGTAATTTTTTTTCGGAGTCCAAATTTTTTTGGACAGAAGCGCCAGAAAGCCTGTGCTGTGAGTGGAAGGGCTCCAAGAAGGCCATTTTTTACTGGCTGATTCTCTTGAATACCAGCCTTCGGTTGGGCAACTTTTTTGCACTAATGTTTTCTTTTCTCGCAAAATTCCACATTCAGCATTGTTGACGAACCAATTTAAAAAAGAACCAGAACACGTACATCATTGAAACGTGGTTGCACGCTGATAATCGTCTCTAAAATGATTCAATATGGTTTGAAGCGTTTGTATCAGATGAACTACATGGAAGGCATACATTGTCCCGTCTGTAATGAGGAGCAATTCCATTTCAACTTCAGTGAGCAAGAATTGAAAAAATGGTAATAATTAATCAAGTACCGTATTAACCTTTAATAATTACACCACCACACATACAGCAGGACAATTCCAACAAAGGAAGCACAAAACAAAACAAAAAACGTATGCACAAACCCTGGCCTTTCGAACCTGCCTTCAGAGGGTTGCCCAAAATCTGCCTAATCGCTGCGACGTATACTTAAGACACCGAGACGTGTAATTATTTAACCACGCCCAGAGTAAAAGCCTCGCGGAAATTCAGGTTGAACGTAATTTAAGCTCAATTTTCCTTGAGAAATCGATTGTGGAAGTCCTTTGATTGCAGGAACTTATTCAGGCGCAATCTGAACGCGATAGCAGAAAAAGACGCGTCACATTGTTTACGAAGAGAACGGAGGCTCTTCCGTTCGGGCAAACATTTTTGGGTGACTCACTCGGGAAGATACGAGGTGCACGCTTTTTATGACTAGGCGCCGATGAATCGTCACGCGTTTATTCAATGCTCAAAATGTGTTGCAAGCATACAAGCCCCTCATTCAACAAAACTTGTCTCAATATCTCACGCGATCTGTTAGAATAATCTGCGCACAACGCCGGTCAAAAAATGCAACAGCAAAAAAAAAAATACTTGCCGAACAATAAGAGTGATATTTTCCGAGATCAGGTATCCGTAACAACGAGAATAACGTCAAAAGACGATCATCACGCAGGCGACGTCGCCGTGGACGGAATTCAGACAGCGTGAAATCAGGGCAAGAAGCGAGTGAGCACTGAGCAGCACCCAAATTCCACGTACAAACCGCATAAATTTATTCCGCCAAAAAATGCCGGGAATGAGAACACGACGCACAAGCCGAGCGGGGGAAGGAAAAATTTTGCGAAATTGAAACAGGCTTCTTCCACGCCGGAGCCTAAAGTGCGATCGCACGCAGTCAGGTAACGCGAAGCCCAGGGACTCAACGCGGCTCACGGATCCAGTTTCACGGTCGAAGCGCAACACATTTCACCAACTCAAAGACGTGACACTAACTCCTGCACAGATTTTTTTTTTCCGTGTTTCCCCTTCAGATTTTTCTCTTTGGCAGATGCTAGAGTCCCGCAGAATTCAGTGGCGCTCGCGGGAGACTGCCCGAATAACTGCCCAGACATGTTGATACTCACCAACACGGGCGCAATTCTCGCGCGCGGGAAGAGCAGTGCTTCGTGTTCCGATGCTTGCGACTCTCCTGGAACCTGACATTGCCCATCGCCCAGTTGCCCGAGAAGTGTTTCAGGATCTGGACAGTCGCGCGTCCCCGTCGACAGGCACTGAAGAAAAGAAAAAAAAAATAGTACACTTCACTCATTTTCACTGTGGTCCCGATCGATGATCCCCTGTCTGGAAGGCCGCAGTTTGACGTCAGTGCTGCACGAAACTTAATAATTCGCGCCTATTCATGCTGAGTGACCAATTGCGAATAGCACTGCGTAGCGTGAGGTGCATACCCTTCTCTCATTTGCACAGTAAGAAAATAACGGTTACTTCCGCCGCGAAAGAGCTTCTTAGCCACTGCTCTAATTAGATGGCTTTTTCATTCGGGAATTTTCAATAAAGCGTGAAGCTTGCGTTCAGTTCGAGGGTCGAGGTAAACTTCATCCGCTGATTGCGTAACTTCGAAAATTGAATCCCTCGCCCCGTAATTGATAATTATTTCTCATGCGTCTGATTTCGAGGCGGAGCGCGAGAAGCTCTCCTGAGATGTGAAACGGGAAGGCGTTAGTGAGGGGACAGCGGTGATGGCTGATTGGAAAGAGTGATTCATCGAAAGTGGAGAAAACGATTGCCCCGGTTTTTTTTTTATGCTGATAATTGGTTTTGCTTTCGCCGTAGGAAATCCGCGGTTCTGTGGACAAACTTTCGCCCACCGAGGGCAGGGTTCAGTTTCCTCCGTGTTAAGTGAATCCACAGCACAGCTTTTGCTTCTTTTCACAGACCCGACTCAGGATTTAGCCCAGGACTGTGGCCGTAAATCCGCGCATCTGGGATTTTTGGTGAGTTCTCCGAGCCTGGCTTAAAGGCGGCTTCTGCTATAGTGTTCACCCAAGCACGTGTTTGATTATGTCTCGGATGACTCGTGACATTGTTTTCTTGGCCTGTGTTTTTTTCTGGCTCTTTGTCCGAACTTTCGTGACCCCGGGAGCCGCCTGCGCTAAATCCCTTCCGACGCATTGCTTTCTTACGGTGTGCTGAGTTTATTAAGCGAGGCTGCTGACCTCGGGGAACCAGCTGAACTTGTTTGCCGTCAAAAGTGGTGGCTGAGAAAAGCATTCAGCAGAAAAATTCTTTGTCCCCGTGCTCAAGGCTGTTTACGAAGAGCTGCAAACTCGGGTCAGTTTTCAATAAATACAAAAAGGCCAAGTATTGACGAGCACATCGTGCGTCTAGTTTTTTTTTTTTTTTTTTTTTACATTTCAAGGCTACTAGCCTTTTAGTCTCCACTCCGTTCGGCAAAACTGATTCAAACTTCTTCAATGACGCCGTCTCACTCCCTTTAAGTTATTGAACATTTTTTCCGCAAAATTTTGAGGTGAGTCCCCGGGTTTCTCAGCCGTGGTCCTCAAAACTAACATGGGAATTCCCGTGATAATGAGACGTTACGTCACTGTTGAAGTTTTGAGAATTTCCTTCATTTATTGCTTACCCTGGCTTTGGAAAATTTTCGCTTGTAAATGAATGTATTAGAATATTCTGGACATTCAGTATCGAAAGCAAAAACGAAAGTGGTGTTATCAGAACATCTTTCATCGAAAGATACCTGTATGATCTTGGATAAGTTCAACGAAAGACTTTCAAACCAGTTCATATATTGTTGCACTTGGATTGCCTTCAACTTGACATCATTCATGCTGGCGTGTAAATATTTTTTTCTTACGATGCTTGATGACGCTTTCAATCCTTCTCATCTATTCATTCAAGGCCTGGTTTAAAAAAAAACTGGAATATCGCTTGAAAATATTAGTCTTCAATTGTACGTGGTAAGAATGACTTTCATACTCATAAATCCATTCAGTAACTCAGTAAAGCGAGTAAAACTGCGACATAACGGTCGAACGCACCCTCGTATTTCTTCACCTGAAATTAACCCGAGTACTTGACCTGCGTATAAAAATAGTCATGATGTTTCGATGCTAACAGAGTATGCATTTCCCCGTACTATAATTAATATCTCTTTTGAGAAGAACTCATAACTTTCTTGGTATCCATCTGTAACCGCTTCCTGCTTCTTGTCACATTCTGGTACGACGATATCTCTGAAGCCACTCAAGTAAATGTCTTTCTGATTGTTCGAAAAATAATAGTCGAGAATGAATCCGCACGCCACCAATTTTTTCTTCGAATGTTGACTGAGTGACTGGCGGTAAATGAAAGCAGTCAAATGGAAACGGAGTAACGGCAAAAATGTGGGGCAAAAAATGAGCACGTAGGCAGAAGACGAGCAGCAATAAATTCTGCAGTTTATGTCCACGGAGTTCTGATCCGTGTCGCTGACCTGACAAAATTACTGGACAATTATCCAGTACTTGTGCAAACAACCATAACAGATTCTTTCGGTTTACTTAATTGATTCTTGCAACAGGAAACCTGGGCGTTGGTTAAAGTCAAACAACTGGCTTACAATGAATGCATGCTATTAAGCTTCTTTTTCTGTTGCTGCCATGCATTCTTCGAAACGTGCCTAATGAAGCAACGCAGGAGAAACTCAATTAAATATGAGGAGCCGAGGAGAATGACCATTTCTTACTCGCGATGGTTCTCGGGGGATCATTTAGCGTAAGTTGTTATACCGACGGAAAAAGTGTTGTCACGCCAGGAGAAATGAAACAGCTCTGGATACGGATCGATGGAATCAATCGTTATCAGAATTTCTAAGCTGTATTTCAGTCGCGCGCATACTGCTGCTGTCGCACCTGTGCTCAGCATTTGCGGTTCGGTTCATTAATATGCTCGCACCACGAAAACTTCCGGGTTCTACTGAGTTTTTCCTTCCTTTTTCTTCCTGAAAATGTTCTCTTGTCTTTGAACGATGTGTATTTTACACGGAATTCTGCGATAATTCATATTACAAATTATTGCAACATGAGGCGGGCTGCTCGTAGTTGCTTCATGTGCTAATGATGAACGAATCGAATGGATCTACAAATTTCGTGAATTTTGGATAACGATTTTGACCGGGAAGAAAATGGCACGACAAATAAAATACATTGATTTCAAAATAGGCAAAAGCGCGTTAAAAGTTTCGCAGTCAAATTCAGAGTAGTCTAGGAACTTGTGCACTGATTTTCAAGCCAAAATATTGGAAAAACTTGATATTTGAATACGCTGGGTTAGTGCTCAAGGAAAGGATAAAGTCACGCAAATTTTTACGATACGTCTTTTAATATTAAATGTCATGACCGTTTCGAAATGCATTTACCGAGAATTTCCTTTTTTATTTTTTTATCCTTGAACTTTCCAAAAATTGGGAACGATAAGAAAGAAATCAACTCCTCTGAGCTGGATTCAAGTTCATTGGTCTTTTTTTTTTAAATGAAGTTTCAACTGTGCACACTCAATGGAAAAATGGAGCCTTTTGGTTCAAACATATGTAGGCCATCGTATACAGTACGTATGTTTAGGCAGAAATTCCGGACTTAGCGATGATAAATTACAGTATTAAAGATTTTCGTAATATATTTTTAATGAATTTCCACCAGCTTTGAGAGTAAATTAATGAGGACGAATCTGAATTTAAAATGTGTCTACTCGGAGCTCCTGCTGATGCGCTGAAAAAACTAACTTCAGACTCCATTTACAGTAATGCGTCCAAGTATAAGGATTAATAAAATGTATCATGTAAAACATTAATTTCGGGAAATTAATTAGCTTTGTGACGACCCTAACGCGATTTTGTTCCGTTTCGACAGTCGAAATCATTCCCATTATTGTTATACAGGCCAACATCGAAATCGAATCAAGAGCATTCCCGGGTTATTCGTGTTCATCCTTTCACAATAGGCGTCCTTGACAAATCTAGTTTCTTGACCGGTTTAATAATTATAGTCCTCGGAATCCTCAGTTTTAGAATTCACTCCGAGGCAGTAAGGTCACGTGTGCTGCATTTTATTATGAGCCTCATCATCATGAAATCCTTCTGACTCTGAAGGTAGTGGACTTCCACTTCGAATACCTCATTGTGCGTGACACAAAAAAAGGACTCGGTAAAAATGGAATGATGAAATCAGTTGCTAACCGCAGTTTAAAAGCACTTCTTTTTTTTTCGGCCGAGTCTGGGCCCTACTTTTTTCGGCCTCTTCTTTAATACATGAGTTGACTTGACCGAGAAAACGGATTTCGGAATTCACGGAGTGAAGTGAATGTCTATTGGAGCCGAAAAAATTGATTCGCGAGGGATGATTCAAAAGTTTCAATGCCTCTTTATTTATTCATCTCAGTACGGGTTTTCCGCGAGTCCCTCAGAAGTCCAAACCACTGCAGGTTCTTAATTGAAGTAAACTTCAGTCTATATTAATATGCTAAGAATGTCCTTGAATTGTGGGCATGCCTTGATCCACATTGTGCTCAATAGGTAACAATTCAGGGCACCTGTCAAATGCTCGAACACACTTTTCACATCGGATATTTGCTGTTGAATGTGGAACATGGTCGCTAAGGAGATTTCGAAACGATTTTGAAATCTTTGTTTGGACGGCTAGCCAATCCATTCAACTCGAGAGTGAGGTAAATACCAGGAAACCTTATCTAATCACAGTGGTGATGATAGGGTGAACTTTCTTCTGGGTCTCCTTTTAATTTCTTTCCGAGTTTCCAAGAATTTGAACAATTGTCAGGACTCGAGGATTTTTCATTAATTGATTAAAAATTACTGTAATCCATCTCCAGGAATTCATACTACGAGAATCCAACAAGTGCAGCAAAAATTTAGAAATATTTCGCGCATTCAAGTCATGCAGCTGAATAGCCGCGTTTGTTTTTTCTCATGTTCCTCGTGCCGAGCCCTTATTTCATCTTCGACGGATTCGCATATACCAGCTCGTATGCGTCGCCATGCTTCAATTCGAATTACCGGAAATGACGCTTCGTCTCCGCATCAGCATCCGTCCCGGGTTCCAGGGTTGCTCAACAATTAATGACGGCATTCGTGTTTGTGTTGGTACTCTGCGAGACGCGCGGCTGCACGCCGAATGGCGATAATTGACCCACAAATTATTCGCGACGCTGCATTATAGTCGTTGCGGAATCAGTGTCGAAGACGCCGCATATTTAATTGGCAGAAAGTCGCACGGCGGCGGAAAGGCAACCTATTGCGCAGGCGCGGGTATCCTGGGCTCTGTGTGGGGATTGGGGAAAAGTGCCAATGAACTTCCTTCAGAGCAAACATGATTGTTCGATCAATTGGTTGATACGCGCGGCCCGCGTTGTAATTTTACCGCGAGTATTGTGCAAGGTTATGAAGGAGCGGCGATTGATTTCGACACGCGTCGCGGAGTTTCTGGGATTCGTCGTCGGTGTCCCTTTCTCCACCCCTGTCTCTGTTTGAAGGATTTCTTAGGGCCATCGTCTCAGACATAATTAATTTGCGCGAGGAATGTGACCATTTGCCCGGTGTCATTTGGGAGAAAGTTGTGGCAAACCGCTTTTCTGTTTATCAAGGCAGAGAGGGCGAATATCTGCGGGACCGATTTCGCAGGCTACGACGCCCCTCAATTAACGGCAGCATTATAAGGCTGATGACGAAATCTTCGAATCGGCGACGACCAGATCAACAAACCGGGATGACGGGCAATTCGGAGTTCGTGTCGAGATTTTTGAACCCGGGGATCGGCCTGAAAAACAGGCGTTCGGGCCTCTCAATGATGTGGATTGATCTTGAAAGAAAACTGCGCGTGATCAACTGGCTCGACTTTTGCCTGGTCAACGAACGGGGAGCCCGTCTCGGGCCACGACTTCGTACTCTTCCGTCTCGCGAGTAGCCTTTGACCTCTATCCCCGT